GCAGTTTATTACCTACCTTTATAACGCTCAGCATTGAGATGAAAGATATATTGTATCATTTTCCAAATACCCAGCTTGTTTAATGGTGAGTTTTGTCAAATTCGGTTCAGTGTTTTGAACGTGAAGGCAGAACAGACGTAGTTACTTTTGTATTCATAAAACTTAGAGAAGCCATTGGATGGATCGTGCGTATAAATTAGTTGTATTAAATGAATAATGAGTTAAGCCGAAGACCGGGCTTAGTGTTGTGGATTGGGAGAGACCTATGCCTAGCAGTGGACGACTGTGGGCTGATGATGATGAGTTTAGGGAATTGGGATTTTATATTGTTATCGAAGGCAAACCTCGGTAGGATCAATTTTAAATACCACGCTAGTTAAGATTTTCCTAATTTATCCTTTTCCGGAAATGTTTGTAAGTAATCGATGGCATACATACACACAGTAAAATCATGTAAAATAGACTCAATAATATCCCGATTTGTACAAAAATTGTTGTTGACCTAGCATACCCCAATCTTACCTCGGATTATTTATATATTTTATATGTTTTTACGTTTCTCTTAAATTCCGTGAAGGCTTTGATAAACTTCTTAAATATTTTTTTTTTTACCTTTTCTCGAAGATACAAAGAAAAAGATCGATGACTCAGAAAACGTTAATCTATATCTTATAGGTACGTTTATATAAACTATTATTAAACTGCTTCAGAAGTCTGTGAATTGAAGATTTCGAAAAGATGACGAAATGTTTCTCGGCGATGTAGTAAGCACGATCTTCGAGCTTTCACTGAGCGTTGTGACATGTCCTTATTGAAAGTTCAAAGAGAGCTTTCGATGACATAAATGTAGACTTTAAAAATAAACCGGATTTGCGGTCACGTATGACGGAGGTAGAAGATGAGAATAAACGGTCACCGTTTACCATCACCGTCCATCTGCCGAAAAGAATTCGCCTACGGGTCGGTTAGTGCGCTTAAGTTAATAGCTCGCGTCACGCAAGCTCAGCTAAGCTCGGAACTTAATTTTCAAGGCGAGACTTCAGCTTTGAGGTCGACGACCTATCAGTTGGGTTCTTATTTACTTAACTGCTGCTGCGTGAGCAGGTACCCGCGTGAAGAGTCCTCACGAGCTGCCGCCAGTATGCAGACGAATTCTAAGTCCAACTTTTGCTAAGTGATTACTGCAGTCCGTAAAAAATATTTTTACCGTCCAGCCCTGGCATGAACTACTGGTGGTAGGACCTCTTGTGAGTCTGCGAGGGTAGGTACCACCACTCTGAATATGTCTGCCGTGAAGCAGTAATGCGTTTCGGTTTGAAGGGTGGGGCAGCCGTTGTAACTATACTTGAGACCTTAGAACTTATATCTCAAGGTGGGTGGCGCATTTACGTTGTAGATGTCTATGGGCTCCAGTAACCACTTAACACCAGGTGTGTTGTGAGCTCGTCCACCTATCTAAGCAATAAATAAAAAAAGAACTCCTAAATGCTCCAATAATTCAAAGGAAATTTAAGAGAATCCTCAGTGTTGGACATCCGTTTATCTTAAATCCTGAAATTCTTTATGACCACGTGAGCCGTATGCTCGGCAGACTTTGATGACAATAAAAAAAAATATATTATTTATTATTGCTTCGATGGGTGAACGAGCTAACGGCTCACCTGGTGTTAAGTGGTTATGAAGCCCATAGATATCTATAACGTAAATTGCACCGCCCACCTTGAGATATCAGTTCTAAGGTCTCAGTATAGTTATTTAGATAGATAGTTATTCAGTTACATAATATTTTAAAAGTTTCACGGGTGACCCTCATGTCCCGGAGGGTTTTGTAAGACAAGACTCAACGGTGAGCACCGTGGCCTCATAAGGCATTCAACGTGTTAAAGAATGATAGAACCCAACCGAAACTCTTCACATTTCCAAGTGGATTTTTTTTTATTGCCTTTGTAGGCAGACGAGCATATGGCCCAGCTGATGGTGAGTGGTTACCGTCGCCCATGGACTTCAGCAATGCCAGGGGCAGAGCCAAGCCGCTGCCTACCGCTTAATACTCTCCACAAGCCTCGTTTGAAGAAAGACATGTCATAGCGCTCGGGAAACACCGTGGAGGGGAGCTCATTCCATAGCCGGATGGTACGTGGCAAAAAAGACCTCTGGAAACGCACTGTGGATGACCGCAGTGGCTCCAGGTAAAAGTGGCGTAAAAGTAAGTGGCGGTCGAGCAATATAGACAGACCGACACCGCATCAGGCAGCCCTTGATCTGATCTTCCCATCTTGAGCATTAAAAATGTTCTTAAGGCATATCGATATCAATACGAAATAGTGCTGTAACCAAGCCCCCAAAAAGCAAAACGCACAAGACGTAATGCTATTATGATTCAACGCAACGTTATTCCCAAAAAGCGTTACACGCTTAATTACATAAGCACGCCCGTAAAATAACAGCCAATAGTCTCAAAGCTTCGTTCCCTCGGAGTTCACGTAACCGATTATTAAAATTGAATTACAAACGAAAAAAAAAAACCATTGTAAAGTTTCGCGTAGTTAATTAAGATTAATAATTCTTTTGTATCGGACCGTTGATGGCCCGAATGTTATGATGTTCCGATAGGCGTAATAACTGTCCTTATTAGAATAGAGTTTAGTTATTTTTAAATAGCGCCCGATTGTTGTTTTACGTTATTGTAAGCGTTTAATTATTGTTTTTTAGAATGCTGTTTTTTTTTAAATTTTAAATTTATTTCTTCATTTGAACATTAGAATTGTTTTGTCGGATGTCAAATGGTCGAACGGTGTGATGAATGTGAGTTTTACATATAATTTTACGATGCTAAATGAAAATTGACAATATTATCCGGCATTGTTGTTTTTATGCAAAAATACAAGAATTATTAAACTTGAGTTGCTTATTGTTTGTATTATTTCGTGCAAAGTTGTTGTGTCACATGAATCTTTAACGCGCCGGGCATATTTAGACAATTTCCTCGACAATCCCTCGCCCTCACATACCCTGTAAATATGATGTGTTCTCCACCTCCGCGCGCCCTATGCTGATATTCGCTAGGTTATTACAATTTTTCGCGTTATGAATATCGTTGGCGGCCCGCCTAATGCCCTCGCACCGGGGGAGTCACACCTCAGCAATTTTACTTTAATTCTTATTTAGAGTGTCGCCTTATTTTCGGTTACAAGATTTTTAGTATTTGTTTAGGGCGACGCGGGAGCCGCAGCGGAGTAATTTTCGCTTTCTTTGACGACGCAATTTCAAGTTTGGCTGTGAACAAAACGCAAATTGCCTATATAAGTACCAGGGCGACATCCGAAGCGAGAGCTACCCGACGGAGGTCAAGGGCTCTTTTATTTTTTAAAATGTTCTGTTCATTTGCGCGCGCGAGCTCGGCGTCATCGGTCCGCTATCAATCATGCATGCACCATTGCGCCGGCCGCGCTTTTGTTCGAATTACGAATTTCGAAAAAAGGAACGAACACAACGCGCGAGCAAAATTATGGTGGTTTGGTTCTTTTCGATATTCGAGTTCGGAATTCGCCCCCCGCGGTGTTGCCCGATGTTGCCCCGACAATAATTACCTTACAATTAAATTATTAAAAAGAGCAGCGCACCACACCCGCCCAATTGTTTTTGTCTTGAATAAAAAATTTAAAAAAAAACGATGTAAGAAAAGGAAACGAACGCAACAAACTTACGGCGGTGTAATTGCATTCATTTGATCCCAAAAAAAAATGCAATAATACAGTGTGACACCGTTAAAAAAGTAGCGAAATTGTTAATGGTGTATGATATTGCCTCCCCTCATTTTAGGGCAAGAAAAGACTAGGGGTGGTAACACCTTCGTTCTCCNTGAAAAATTTAAAAAAAAACGATGTAAGAAAAGGAAACGAACGCAACAAACTTACGGCGGTGTAATTGCATTCATTTGATCCCAAAAAAAAATGCAATAATACAGTGTGACACCGTTAAAAAAGTAGCGAAATTGTTAATGGTGTATGATATTGCCTCCCCTCATTTTAGGGCAAGAAAAGACTAGGGGTGGTAACACCTTCGTTCTCCCAGGAGGTGTTTTTTGAGTTGAGTATTTCTTTCTTTTTTTCTGATGTTTTTTTTTTTCGCGTAATGACGCTAAGGTCCTGGGAGAGTTGGACGAATCCATTAGATAGGCGGGAAGAGCTTAATGTAGATGTTTTTTTTTCTTCTTTTCGTATCGAAATCGTTTGAAAAAACCGAGCATGTGTCGCCCTGGAGGACATTAGTACGAATTGTAATGGCTTTTTGTACATCTACACGAAGCCAACAACAATCTCCGAATGTTTTATCGTTTCGACCATTTGTTATTGAGAGACGCGCTATTGGAACGATCATTAATCATTAGACGTGTCGCACGTCTTCAGTTAAAGGCATTAAGTTTTTAATTTACAATCATTTAATGATGTATGTTGGTAGGTATTAAAAGCTACCATGTGTACAAATACAAATAATGTGTATAATAATACCAATGTGGCAACACTTGGGTGGATAAAATGAATATTCCAAATTTAAATTCAGAAGGTATTCTCGAATGACGCATGCTAGTAGTTAAAATATTGTGTATTTTAAAATATTCGTAAAATCCAAAATTAGAATGAAGATGTGGTTGGTGAATTTGAAAACTGAACGTGAATTATTATTACAACTATAAAGCAATAAACAAAATGTAATTCCAGTAGGAACAATTTAAAATTGACTTCGATACTATTTACTTTATTGTTTTTTTTTAATTCTATACCTATCATAAGAGGTACAGGGAAATTTTTAGAGACATGGTATTAATTCAAATATTAATAATAATTTGTTATATACCGAATATTAACGAATACGCCATACTTGTCGGTATATTTTGTTCGAAACATCCAGAACTTGATTTGAGCTCATCAGAATATCGTACAGCTATAATAGAAAAATGTGATATGGATCATAATTTTTTTGTTTTTCAATTGTTTCAGGCAAATGGTGTCCATCGCGGCGCGAGTGGTCCTCCCCACCCGACGTGGCGCGGCGGGTGTACTCCTCCGTGTTCTTGGGCAGCCCCGGTGAGTACCCAGGTAAATACGAACCATTCTTTTAATTATTACTTAATTAGAATTAATTAGATTCCTCAGAACACACACAGAGACAATACTGAACATCAAAAAATTATGTTATGCCTCACTATGATTACAGTTGATAATATCTAATTTATGTAACCTAGATAGCTATTACAATTTTCGATAATGATTAGGCACATACAATTCAAAAACTGATTTAACTGCGAAATATATTTTTCTCTCTGATTTGCCGAAAAACCCAGTGCCTAAGTAAAAAAAAAGCAATCGTTTAAAAAAATTATTCTACAAATTGTTGACGTAATAATTTCGTGAAAAAAAAAAAAAGTTTTTTTTTTTTTAATTTTGAATAAAGAACGATAAGTCGCCGTTCTGTTGACAGCTAAATCGTTGTCAGTAATGAGCCGACGAAACATCGGATCACACGTGTCGGTGGCACTGTCAAAATATTCGGCGGTCGGTGATGACGTAACGAGTAGGCACTTACCGACGACGTGTTATTGCAGTCGGCACAGATCGTACAGTTGTCCCATTAAGGTATAAGTCAATTAGAAATCAGCTGAGCAGATACCGAAAAACCAACGGGGCTAACCTTAAAAAAATCTATATATTAATAATACATGAAGCATTTACGTAATTACTGGTGGTAGGACCTCTTGTGAGTCCGCGCGGGTAGGTATCACTACCCTGCCCATTTCTGCCGTGAAGCAGTAATTTGTTTCGGTCTGAAGGGTGGGGGCAGCCGTTGTACTGTACTGAGATCTTAGAACTTATATCTCAAGGTGGGTGACGCATTTATGTTGTAGATGTCTATGGGCTCCAGTAACCCATCTAAGCAATACAAAAGAATTTAATGAAATTGTAAGTTTGAACATTATGATTCTATTGTCAAAGACTATTAAACTTCTATAATGACAGATTTCGCCAAGACTAGGTACACTATAGACAAATAGGCGAGGTGGTTGTGGTACCTACCCTTGCGGACTCACAAGAGGTCCCACCACCAGTAAATTATAGTCGAATTTCGACCACTAATTTACTTAAATATGCTATATATATGTTTGAGACTAGTTAAGTAACGGCTCAATCTTGCAGTGGACGTGACGCGGGTGATGCGCGCGCGCTCTCAAACTGACGGCCCATCGATCACTCTTATCGGAGAGATCCCACTTACATCCGCACAAGGTCGCCATGTCAAACATTTACTAGGCACACACCTTGACGCACGCTGTGCTCTAAAACTACAATATTAGACTCCATCGTCAGTAAAACAATATATACATAGTAAATGTCAACGCGAAAAAAATCGATTCTATCCGCTAAAATTTCTGGGCTCGGTCATAAAAATCGATTCTCACGCGAATCGATTTCGTTGAAGTGCACGAACCAACTCATTTGTGAGTTATTAATAACTCAATGCCGCTCCGTAATGACGACTAAACTCATAATTACTAAAACGACTACTTAGCACTTAAGCCTGTAAGTTAGTAAGCAAACAAACATAATCGCTCATATTCGAATGTGATCTTTAATATATACACTCAAGGATTTGTTTCGATTGAATATCATTTTATTTGATTTTTATGTTACATAATTATCAATTTTCTAATTCGGAAGTGCATTCGAATTTTAAATCACAATCAACATTATTCTAACGCCATCTATTGATCGGCGATAGTGATTGAGACTCCGGAAACTTCGTTAAACAAAATTCAACCGTAACTGTTACGCTTAAGCAGTAAATCGTAAAAACAATTATTATACACTTAAGTCTTTACGTTTTAAGGTAAACAGACGCCATTCGTCTCTTTTCCTCTAGTTTATGATATGATTTCGTCTCGTTCTCTTATGACGTCAGTGCATTTCCCGTTTCCATTACACTATATCGCTACGGTAAACGATACGACAATAAACCCATAGACAATTAGGGATTTGCTCATCTGTATATAATACGTAATTTTACTTATATCCAAAAGTAACAGTTTTTTATTTATAAATTACATAAGTTGTCATATAGAATATCAATACTATCACAATTAATTTTTTCTAAGCTTAAAACACCATTTCAAAAATTCATTATTCAATCTAAAATCTATATACTCCCGTAAAACAAGACGACATTTTTTATAAATAATTTCCATTCACCTTTCCGTAGTTCGCACGAAGGATAATGGGAACTGATACAAAAAGTACGAACGAAAGAGAAGTTCCAAGTTTATTGATTTCGTCTTCAGCGAAAAAGGAATCGACGGCAAGCGAGACGGAACTAGCTAATCTTTACGACGTGCGAAAGAGATAAAGCAATTCCTTACGTCCCTATTCTTAAGTCGTTTCTGCGTACGAAATGGCACTTTATCTCGTAACATTAAGGTCGCAGTTTCATTGTTTTAATTGAGCATCTACAATCGAGTGGCTACATAACGGAACGTTATAACTTCATTAAACGGAGTTCAACACGAGGTCTTTATAGCTTCGGAAATAAGGTTGTTTTTTGTTTGTTTATAAATTTGTAGATGTATCTAAATGTGCACGGCGTCGGTTGCTATGGCTACGTGGAACGTTGGAATGTCTCGGGAACAGTGTTGTCGGCTCCGTAAATGTTTTTACCAGAATTAGATTAGACAAAAACAATGCGATGCGAGTCGATAATTAGTTGTGTGTGTGCGTGCCCCGGAGTACGTCGTTCGATCCCGGGCGCGGCGCTGGATCGGCCAATACCGTCATGCATTTTATCATCGAATATTCGACTTTTTTTTTTTTTTGTCGAATCCAACCTGTCATGGCCGCAATCTCTTAACAATGAACTTGTATGAGTATTGATACGCGTAGCGATATAGTAAGCGCGGTTTGAATTGCTCAATTTGTGTTCGAGCTCTAAGGCAAAAGTCCGGCGAGATCGATCGCTCGCCATGTCCGCAAATTAGACCGGGAATGGTTGTTCGTTACGTCTCCGGACATTCCGTAACGACGTAACCATCGTTATTAGCTCACAGGACTACGGTCTTTAATAACCACGTAATAAAGATGATAATCTTGTGATGCCTCTTAATCTCGATCTCTGCAGTGGTACTCAAAGTATACCGATGATTAAAGATGCTTTTTTTTTAGTGCACATCGATGGGGGAATGCAATGCATGATATTACAGCGTGAAGTCGCCACCCGCTTTGAACCATGAGGTCGTAGTCTCAACTGTATTGTAAAAAAGCTGGTCCGTTTTTTAAATTGAAACGCATCGTACGTTGACTGGTGAGTCATCGTGCGACGAGGAGTTCAACGTGCAGGATAAACCATAGACACGACCCACTGAGTTTCTGATATTCTCAGTGGGTCGCTATTTTGGTCTAGTGGATTCAGCGAAGCACTGCTCTTGCTAGGGCTCTAGTGTTAGTTTTTTTTTTAATTGTTTAGATGGGTGGACGAGCTCGCAGCCCACCTGGTGCTAAGTGGTTACAGGAGCCCACAGACATCTACGACGTAATGCGCCACCCACCTTGAGATGTAAGTTCTAAGGACTCAAGTATAGTTACAACAGCTGTCCCACCCTTCAAACCGCAACGCATTACTGCTTCACAACAGAAATAGTCAAGGCGGTGGTACCTATTCGCGCGGACTCACAAGAGGTCCTACCACCGGTAATTACGCAAATTATAATTTAAACTAAACTCTCAGGGTAAGCGAACTCGCCTGCCGAACCAGAGAAGTTGAAATAGCCTACCGAACCAATAACTGAGGCAGATCACGGAGGATTGTAGTAACGGTGTCGGCAGACGTAACTCCCTACCATCACCGAAGAGCAACAATGCCTTTCTAACATCCATTCACTGCACTCGCAGCTTAACGATTGCAGAAGCTCCCGGGCTTTATGTTAATGAACTTAACTGGTGTCGATATAGGTATAACTTACTGTACCTTTAAAAAAAAGCCCCATGTGTATCGATGACCTTGAACTTTAGCTGTAGGTAGACTTTACATTAGGTGGGCTCCAAGTGAGTAGATAAATTACCTTATATGATAAAGTTTTCTCAAATCTGAGACTCCTTACATTAGAGACACGCATTTTAGCGCTGAACGGTTATTTGTTTGAAAATAACTTGGATATAACTAATATTAACTATAAACTAATATTGGAAAATAAAAGGAGCTTGTACTAGACACGAGCTTTTATCTCGGTCAGTCAATAGACAGAGTGAGAATAGCGTGAAGAAATCATCTTGTCTAATTCCAACTACCATCACCGGTACCACGCAACACTTGTCGAGATAATACCAGCTGCTCCGGAGACCAGCACATTATGGTGACGTCACCGCGGTCACAAACACGCTCAGCTTCAGCTTAACGGGACATAGGCTAGCTCGCGAATACTTCATTAGAGATTATCTCTATAGCTAGAAAGATGACCTTACAAAACCTCTTTGCGCCTGAATTTGGCTGTCTTCTCATAACACAGTCGATTTTTCCAATGAATCTCTTCTTCATAGTGCCCTCACTGCTGAGGATCGCGACCACATGTAACTTTTTTCCATAATTTTGGATCATGGGTAGCATGGAACTCATGGTATAGACTACCACAAACCACTTCCTTAACCAGATTTGACGGTCTGGCTGGGGTTCTGCTCATGGCGCGCTTGCCCTCTATCAGACTCGTAATTATGAGCTTCTCTAATTCATGTCTGGGAGACCGCATGATGTGTCCAAACAAGCTCATAACACGTTTCCGGCAGACGGCAGAGAGCCTTTTTGAATGTTTAGCTCCAATGAATCAGACGCGGGTATCTCCCACATAGATGTCACGCTGTTGATAATAAGCGCAATGATTTTTATTGATAACATTCGAGTCCCTTTGTGACGTCGTAAAACTAGAACGCGCGTAATGCGGTGACTCAATAAACGCTGCGCTTACGGAACCGAGGCAAGCAGAAACATCATCCGATCGTAAAAACGATCGTAAAACTGGCAATATTCATAACGAGCAATCAGTGTTTTTAGGGATATCGGAGGA